AGGATAATTTAATATCAATTACTAATTATTAATAAATAAAAATCTAAAACAATATGCACTTACCATAAGCGCAGTCCATATCGCCTCGTATGCGGTCCATGGTAATTCTCGAAAATGAAAATAAGTGTTGATAATGGTCGCTCTACGCACGAGAACCCCAATATATGCATTCAATCGGGTCGACCAAGGACCAACGGGCAAATTAGAACTATTCCACCTAATAATGACCCTCATTCCTCTTGGCGGTTGTTTAGAATCAGGCTTACCTCCGCCACGTCGTCCCTCTATACGATCCTTCTTAGCACCTATAATAATGACAACATGATAATATATCATATAATATATAAATGTGAAAATTAAAAGTATTTATATAATTTACCATTCGCTATCTCTCTTTCTTTTGCCGCGAGTGCATCAGCTTTCCTAGTCTCCAACATAGGAAGCATTTCCTGATACCTTCTCGCAGCATGTGGGTGGTACTTCCTTGAGTCAGCCTTGGACTTATGAGAGTCCGGAGGTAAAGGTAAACTGAAAAAGTCCTGGATCTTTGGCCGCAAATCAGTATGGAATGTATATGATGGATATGTCGGGGTCCAAGTAGCACCTACATAAGAAAGAAGAATCAATAATATTAAATTTTAATTGACCATTATCAATTATTAAATATTTAATACCTGTGTCGGGGGATGATTCTGGTGCTGCATCAGAACCGCTGGGTGATGAATATCCCACATCTGCAACAAATGAATACTATGAGCTAGATAACTAAAAATTTATAAAACATGTTAAAGTATTAATTAATTTTTATACCTGCATCCGGAGATGGTAGTGGATCATCAGCACCACTACCTGGGGTGATACTCCGTGAGCGATCACCCTCCAGGTCAAAGAGCCTCCTCATCCTCCTCCTCATCTGCAAATATAATAAAGACAATCATTAAGAAAAAAATTGTATACATGCTCATGAGATATGTTGTTATGAAATGCATTATTGTTTTTATTATGATAAGATAAAAATCGATAATGTGGTGTAACATATCAGGTTCATACCTACATCCAGCGCCACATTCTGTGCGTAAGAGAATTCTTGCCAAACATCATCAGATGAACCGATTGGTTCACTATAATTATCTTCACTTTCTTCAATATTTTTTTCATTGTTATTAGGAAGAACAACAGATCTTGGCTCCTTGTACAAAACCACCCAATCATACATGACATTCGGATCTTTCACATAGAAGCACTGATCAGCTTGTTCTGCGAAAATGAATTTCTCATCCGTATATACTTCTCGGTGAAGATTGACTAGTGTAAATCCATAATGATCCTTTTGCTTTTTTGTAGGACACCACCGAACCTTGAACATCGTGTAAGTACATTGTTTTGGTTTACCAAACCCGTAAATTACCTCAACGATATCTTCTAATTGGCCATAATATAATATGTCAGCTAGAATGGATTCTGATCTCTTATACTTGAAAAACATTCTTGAGAAAACAAGCCCATGACCCCACTGTTCTGAGTTACCCTCCTATCATCGGTCTCTAACGTTCAAAATTTATATCCATTCACCAAATGCTCATTATAACGTCTCACTTCGTGATAAGGACGTTGTGCATGGATAATAATTTCATCTGATAATGTAGTATCATCAAGAAGTGATTTTTCAACCTAAGACAAACAATTTGAGAATATTTAGGCGATGTTATATTATGAATGTTCAATAATTAATTGTAAAACACTTACATCAAATCTTAACCAATCAGAAAATTCTTTCTTATGTCTTTTCTGAATATTGTGCGCTGCATTCCTACCGGTTGTTTCATTCTTAAGCTTCTCCAGATGTCGCCTATATAAACAATATATAAGTTTGTATTGATAAACTATATGTAAAATGAATATTTCTCATCTATATTACAGATTTTATTTGTTACCTTCGATAGTCTTCGAACATATCAAGGTTTTCCAACACATATGCATGAATTTGATCTAAGAGAGATCTCGGGTATTTTTCACGCTTCCTCTCCTTTTGAGGTGCTTGAGATGTGGTTTTCTTCTTACGCATGTAACGTGATGCAAACACAAAGCATTCATTAACGTGATTACAGTCCGAAGCAAATCAAGAAGCATTTCAAAATAATTATCTGACATACCACTAAGTGTCTTAATATGAAGGAGTTTCAGCATAAATGAAAATCTGGAGTACTCGGTACATCCCTCATATAAGTCCTTTTCACTATCTTCTAGTAGCTCCATTATGCGGAGGAATGCATATCATCAATATTTTCGACACTCGCGACACCTCCTACCTCTTCAGCTTCAACTTCGTTATCATCTTCACTTTTGTCTCCAATATCATCCTCGACATTATCATCAACATCATATTCTGTAGGTCGAGGAAAAATATCATTCAACAATGTTTCTGTGTCATCTATTCGTTGGCCACCGGACGTACCAACATGCATATTTGGATCCTCACCTTCAGTGATACCTTCCCCATGCCAGTTCTAGTATTTATATTTCTCATCAAAACCTGATTTTATTAGGTGAATCCGTATATCATTTCTATTCAGCAGCTTCAAATTCCTACACCTACAACAAGGACAGTACATAGCACCGCTTCTTAAATTTCTCGGATTCATTTCCGCATAACGCATGAAGGCTTCACATCCCTCCTTGTATCGTGTGTCGTAAAATCTACGATGCCTAGGGATATCTATCCATGACTTGTCAGGAATTATCATCATCTGTAAATTATATATAAATATTAAATACGATTAGTCTCACAACTACTAAGACATCCATTACTCTTATACATTCAATACACATCAAACATACGTTCATATATCATTTAACAATATGAATATTTATCTACATAAAATATATATAAAACATACGTAAAAACTAATTACACTAATCTTGCGGCTGTCATAGGAAGGCTTCTATCCATTAAGAATATAGTAGTGCTTACATCCAACTTCATATACTTTGTATATTTTTATTTCTTAAAAATTTCGGCAGCACCTACCCGCTGTTCTCCCTGTACACTGTGCGGATGTTATTATGCGTATCAGTAATAACCCGAAACATAGAACAACATACGCTTATTATACATGGAGAACAACGAATAGGTGCTGCCAAAACTTTCAAGAATAAAAATATACAAAGTATACAAAGTTGGATGTATGCACTATTATATTCCTAACCCGTCCGAGAAGGACAGATCCAATAATTACGAATTTCAGTACCAATTTTTTATTCCTATAATATAAAATAAACGCTCATTTTTGGGAAAAAACGTCGTATCCTACCCAAATCTGAGTCGTATATCATATATTATAAGTCCAAATAATTGGATGTAATTATTGGACGGAAGTCTAGGGATAACGTTATCTTTTTATTCACCTAAATTGGATTATAACACATTATAAAAATTTATAATGTGTTATATATCACTCTATTTTTTAAAAAAAATTATTTCACATATTTTCACATCACAAACTTAAATAATCACACATACTTATAGCACGAATGAAACTTAAATGAGTTAGGGTTTATAAGTGTTTATACAAAATATGATTACTGGTGTTGTTCAAATGAATTAACATGTAGTTAAGTTAGGGTTTTCAGAATTGAACTCGTTTATTTTTTATCATAATTAGGGTTTTAAACCAAATTCAACAATAACTAATAATAAAATTGAAATTTCTAAAGCTCAGTAGAAAAATCATACCTTTTAAACTGATTTCCGCAACGGACACCGCCGAAGGAGGGGGGGTCGGGAGGTTCCGGAGGAGGGGGGGTCGGGAGGGG